GAGAAATCAGCTGATAGTCTTTATGGGAACGCCTTTGTAGGTAACTCTTTCCTTTTCTCTTGCTGCTTTTAAGATTCTTTTATTATCTTTAGTCTTGGGTAATGTAAATATAATGTGTCTTGATGTGTTCCTCCTTGGGTCCAACCTCTTTGGGACTCTCTGAGCTTACTGGATTGCATGTCTGTTTCCTTTTCCAGATTGGGGAAGTGTTTCTTCATTATTTTTTCAAATATGTTTTCAATTTCTTGCTTTTCCTTTTCACCTTCTGGCACCCCTATGATTCAGATGTTGGAATGTTTAAAGTTGTCCTGAAGGTTCCTAAGCCTTTCCTCATTTTTTTGAATTCTTGTTTCTTCATTCTGTTCTGGTTGAATGTTTATTTCTACCTTCTGTTCCAAATTGTTCATTTGAGTCCCAGTTTCCTTCCCTGTTGGTTCCCTGTATATTTTGCTTTATTTCACTTTGTATAGCCTTCATTTCTTCCTTTTTTTACGTCTATACTGAATCAAAGCTGTGAGCATCCAGACTACCAGTGTTCTGAACTCTGCATCTGGTCGGTTGGCTCTCTCCTCATTGCTTAGTTCTTTTTCTGGAGTTTTGATCTGTTCTTTCGTTTGGGCCATACTTCTTTGTCTCAGTGCACCTGCTACATTGTAAGGGGCAGAGCTTTAGGTATGTTCATCAGGATAGGGCAATTTACATTGCTGCATTATGACATTGTATGTGGGGGAGGTATCTTGAGAGGGAACCGTGCCACTTGCTCAGCTCTCTCCCCACTTTCAGTGACATCTCCCGCTACCCACAAGTGAATTGGGCCCTTCTGGTGCTGATTTGTACATGGATGGATTTGTGTACATTCTAGAACCCCATGGGCCACTCCAGTGGGCTCTCCTATGAGGTTGGGAGTTTCTCCTGCCGCCACAGCCCCTGCAAGTTTTTATTGACAGGGGTTTTGAGGCTTTATTTCCCTCACTGGAATCCTGGGTTGTGTGGTCTGTCTTGCTCTCCAGTTGTTCCTCCCTGTTTATTGGAATGTGAGACTGTCTGGCCCACTAGCCCCCATCTTGCTGTGTGTCCTCTCCACGCCAGCTTCCCATCTCTGCCCTTCCTCCCAGTCCGGATGAATATTTAACTCCATGGTTGTCAGAATTCCATACAGTTTGATTTTCTGGCAATCCTGGTTGTTTTTTGTTTTTAAATCGGTGGTTGTCCTTCTTTTGGTTGTGTGAGGTGAAGCACATCCACTTACGCCTCCATCTTGGCCGGAAGTTTTGTGCGCAGTTATTATTTTTAGTGACATTTTATATATCTGTAAATGAAACTTGTTAACTTTCTATTGGTTAAGTTTGATTTTTAAGTGCATTTGTTTGAGAATATTAACTAATCAAAATGCAGAGTACAGCCTCGCCAACTCTTTTTGAGGCAGTTGTTCCCTTTGTGTTGCAGTATTAAGAACATTATACGTGACCAGGAATTGTAATCTTCTTATGTTCTTTCTGTTAGGCTTCAGAGCTTATGAAGTTACGGAATATTACTTTTGTAATTTAGAGCTATTTATTCCTTTGACCCTTCTACTTAATCTTTCTTTTTAAAAAAAAAAAATTTGTTGACACTATTACATATGTTCCCAATTCTCCCCCTAGTATTTATTTTCAATGCACACTTTGATGTGAAAATTCCTCTTTCCATATAAGTCACGTCAGTTGTTCCAATATTTAGAGAAAAATATAAGGAATATCAGATAACACCTATTTACTATGGGTTGGAATTTTCAGAAACTGGAACTCAGTAGTACACATATTTCAGGCCTGAGTTTGATTTTGGAGGCCCTTTAAAACTCACTTTTACTCTTTCTCTTTCTGAAGAGTCAGCTTGCAGCAGATATTTGAGTGTTTTTAGCACTCACTGTTGACTAGCATTCTCATACAACAAGAGGAAAACATTCCCATGTTCTTCTTGGTGCTCTCTCCAGCTTAGGAACTCCACAGTTTTTCTTTTTTGTAAGCATTATAGCCTGCATATATTCATGTCATTTCCTTAAAGTATTAAGTGAAAGAAGTTAACAATAAAAAGAAAAGTAGGGAGAATATGAGGGTTAATATAATGGAGACAGAAGAGGCCATGAAAAACCTTGAAGTTTGTCTCAGAGTGATAAGGAGGATCTCACTGTCCAGCATTGGTATGATGTTATTAATCTTTGTTTCAGAATGGGCCGTATGGTGGTGATTACTGATGAAAAGTTTGTACACATTGCCATGGAAGCATAAAGGGAAGGACTTTCAGGAGCAATGTCTTGGAAGAAAGTTAGGGGCTATCTAGGCATTCCAGGTAGAGGGCAGGTGTACACATGAGTGGGTGGAAATGACTCTGGAGGTGCTATAAGTAGTTTGGGGCTGAAACACAGTTGGTGTCTGAGGTTGAAGAAAAGGTTGCGCAGGTAGTCAGAACTTAGTTCGTAGGGCACCCCCTGTGCTGTACTAAAAGTTTTGTCCATTTTTATCTTGAATGTGGAATAAATCATTGTACAGTTTTAAAAAGAGGGATAACATGGCTATGTTTGCATTTTAGAAAGACTATCCTTCAGGATATATGGAAGGTACATTGGAAGGGGCAAATTGTAGGAAGGAGTTCAATTCGAGACTTCTGCTGGTGAGAAGTGAGGGTACCTGGAACTCTGGCAATAGAAAGGGAAGGGGACTTGAAGATCTGTGAGCTGTTAGATAGGACTGCAAAAACAAGAGGATGCCAGGCATTGAAAAGGAGGACATCTGGGATGACTTTGAGATGTCTTACTTAGGTAACATGGTGGATGGAGGTGCTCAAAATGAGAAACAGAATCTAGAAGGATTGAGAAGGAGTTGGTTTGTACATGTAAAGCATTTAAGTGGAGAGATACTACAGGCAGGTAGGTAATTATAGGGATTCAGTTGAGAGAAAACTTTGAGTAGAAATGTGGGTATTGTTGCTGTTTAGATAGATAGTAAAAGTTATTGTGGTAATGAGACCTCCCAGGAAGAGCTGCTTTTGAGAGGGGAAGAAGGCTGAGAACTAACCAAAGGTAGATGGAAAGGAAGGAGAGATGAGAAAGGGACCCAGTAGGCAGATTAAGAGAGGAATTCAAGGAGGAGTGTCCAGGATGAATGCCTCTGACCTTCAGTTTAATAGGGACCAGGTAGTGCCCATTGATTATAGGATAGTATCACCATTTTACTGGTAAAATGGTGAGATGGAGTAGGACTAGAGCTATGAGGTGGAGGTGAGTGGGAATGACTGACACACATTTACTCTACCCACTTCAGAAGCTTTCTTAGAGGCAGGCGAACTGAGGCCACAGTAAGACCTAGGGGAAAGTTTTGATGGGAGAGACTTGAGATTGGGGAGGTAGTAGATTGAAAGGAGTCTGGAAATTGAATAATTTCTGTAGCTGGGTTCCTGGAAAGGAAGGAAGATTAAGAACTGGATCGCAAAGTCATTTCATTTTATTTGTGGTGACTGGAGATGACCTTGGGTGCCACTCAGATTAAGTTGCTATTATATTCATTTGTTGATTTTTCTTTCTTCCTTTTTGTCAGATAAAATGAACTAGATACTATTTTTTTCATTAACTTCATACTCTGACTATAATCACTGACCTAGCTCTCTCTTCATTTTTTTCACCAAGCATGCTCTAAAACATATTACATGGAGCAGCTTCAAATTTGACCTATCCTTTCAAGCCCCCATCTGCCCCTGAAATGTTTAGGCAGGTGCAGTAGTGAGGTGTACCCTGTTCCAGCGTCCCACTCGTCCTGTTCTTTGCTTCCGGTGGCAGCATCTGTATGTGCTCCATCCCAGCCTTTTCACACTTTGCTGTTAGAATAAATCTGATAAATTCATTCAGGTAGGAATAAAGGTCAGCATACTTTATGACATTTGTATATTTTCAAAGGGCTCAAGAAATGAACCTTTTTGTCTCTGGAATTTTACATAGCAGAATACCTATGGAAGAAAGATTTTTAGGGGTGGTACTTTTTTATTTTATTCACTTATTTATTCATTTTATTTTTAATTTATATATAATTGACATATAACATATAAGTTTAAGATGTACAACATGTTGATTTGATATATTTAAATATTGCAATATGATTATGACTGTAGCATTAGCTAACACCTCTGTCATGTCACACAGCTCTTCTGTGATAAGAACAATTAAGAGATGGTACCTTTTAATATCCACATTCTGTGAAGCAGAATCCTTCCTATTTTATTTTTTGACAATGAGAATGTGAAGTTTTCTTTCTTTCTTTCTTTTCTTTCTTTCTTGTTTTTTTTTTTGGAAAAATTACGCTTTTATTAATCTTGGTAGCAAATGTAAGTGTTTTTTGTTCCAGGGTCATGAGCAAAGGTTTGAGCTTGAGGGAAAAAAATATTCTTTGATCAGTTATCTTGGGATTTTCGTGCATTTGTGATGCCTTGTTCCGTATATTAACAGCCTTTGTTACCTGTGCCTAGCTAGGTAGGCCTAGCTTCACATTCCCTTAGTCAAAAATAAAATTAATAGGAAGGATTGTGCTTCATAGAATAATTAACCAGTCAGTTTTAGAACCAGTTATAAACATGAAATCTGTATATTTCAATTTACAAAAGCTTCATTAAAGTAACATTCTGTTTCTGCACTCAAGAAAGTCTGGTTTTTTTGTTTGTTGAATGACTAACCTTTACCCAGTCATGCTTTTGCGTAGGTTTTCTGAGCTTTCTCAGAGTTTCTTCCATTTGAAATGTGATATTAGATAGAGCCTGATCATTTCCAGCTACTGTTTGGTGGAACACTATACAGTCATTCCATGTGCCTGAAAAACAACAATGAGGGAAATGGTTATTTTATTAAAGGCAAAGGGGACACAAAATTCTGTATACTGTAGCCCATTTAAAAATATATTTACAGAAAAAAAGTCTAAAATAAATTATACAGTGAGATAACTTACTAAAGAAGCATGACATCTTTCTTTCTATTACAGCTAATCTACCAGTGCCAACGATTGCCGCCATAGATGGACTGGCTTTAGGTGGTGGTCTTGAACTGGCATTAGCATGCGATATAAGAGTGGCAGGTAAGAATTAATCCTATTAAAAATAACATTTTTTGAAAGAAATGCAATGTGATTTATAAATGAGAACAAATTTAATAATGCTTTCAGAAGTTGAAAAAGGTGACACGAACAGTACTAAAACACACGGCCTTTTAATTTTCTTCAAATTCGGAGTTTAAATTATATACAGATGAGAAGTCAGTTTTGTAACCTAAAAATACTTATTAAAACTATATTAATACTTTCATAAACTATAAAAAAGTTAATGAGACAAACATGTGCATTTATAGAACTGCAAGTCAGTCATGCCAGATCCCTGCCAGGGAATTCCCAACACTACTTCATTCATCTAGGAGGACACAGAGTAATTCTTGTTCAGGTATACACATTCATCTACTTGACTAGCACGGTCAGCTCTCCACTGCTCAGTGGTTTCCTTCTGCTATGAATGTGCATGTCCAGTTGTCTGCTGCTTTGAGCAGACGTTTACTTTGCTCATCCACCAGCCATTGGAGGGGGACTGAGACCATGCAAATGAGTAAATAGACCCATTCTTCAGTGCGTGTTTCCTGAGGACCCTCTTCCATCGTCATATCTAGAATCAGATGAGGTTCCTTAGCTTTTTTTCTTTTTTACATTTTGCTGAAGTAGTTTTGAAACAGAAAACCACAAACTCAGCTATTCCCCAGAAGAAATCTCTTATCAAAGATAATCTCCATGGGGACTGACTCTGGCTGTCCAACACTTGTCCACTCAAGATGTAAACCATTTTGCTCCTTGTTCCCCACCTCTGGAGTGACGGAGCGGTCTGACCCTTTTCATCTTCTGTCAAAAATAACATTTTTTGAATGAGTTTTGTTTTGTTTTTTTACTCTTCAGAAAATTCCGAGTAGAACATCTAGGTGAAAAACATCAACTGTTGGGCTTAACAAAGTACTTAAAATTTCCAGTTAAGAAAACAGTCTTTGATAGCCTCTTGTTCAATCTTAGCAGTAGGAAAGGAGAAGAGGGTCATACAGAACTGAATTTAAATCCTTGGTCCTGTCCTTTTTAGACCGGTTTCCTCCACGTTGGGTGAAATGACGTTAGCTCTTCTGACAATCAAATGAATTTATGGCATGTGCCTAGCCATAATTATTATCACCTATGGTAATAATAATTTAATCCTTTGAGGCTCGCTATTTTTCTGGATGGCTTTCTGAGGATTGGATGAGGTGATTATGAAAATAATAATGAGCCCTGGCTGGTGTGGCTCTGTTGATTGCCAGCCTTGAACCAAAGAGCTGCTAGTTCAGTTCCCAGTCAGGGCACTTGCCTGGGTTGTGGGCCAGGTCCCCAGCAGAGGGTGTGCAAGAGGCAACCCTTGATGTTTTTCTCCTGCTCTTCCTTCCTTCCCCTCTCTCTGAAAGTATAAATAAAGTCTTAAAAAAAAAAAAAATAATAATGAAAACACTTAGTGCTAGCCCTGTACTGAGTGTTGACCTTGTACCCAGTGCCATTCTAAGCACTTGGCATGTATAATATTAACTCACTCAATCTTTCTGACAACCCTCTGAGATAAATACTTTGTGGTGCTTGACAAAGCCAGGACATGGGGAGGTTAAGTAACATGCCCCAAATCAGTGGCTGAACTCAGATTTGAACCCTGGCAGTCTGGCATCACACTTGTCACACAGCCTTCCTGCTGTCCTGCCAGAGCACTGCATTCTTCCGCTACTTTCTCAGACTGTCTTCTCAAGAATCACAGTGCTGTGTCCTTGTTCCCTCATTGTGGTGACCCAAAGGGGCTCCTGGACCAAGGACTGCATGAAGCAGGCAGAAAATATTTGTCACTGTTCTTCCCCAGGTTCCCACTGTCACTTCTGGAGGAGCTGCCTGTTAAAAGTAGAGTTGATATAATTATGTTTTTAAAATAATTTTATGGTGACTTTCTTGGGGTTTGTAGTTGCTGGTCATTGTACACTTTTTCCTCTTTCCACTTTATTTGGGATCTCTGTATTTTGTCTGGAATCATTGGGTTTTAAATTGAAAAGCTAAGGTACATGGAATACATTTCTGAAAGAATGCAGATTCTGGAAAGTAGGATATGGGAAGCAGCCCAGGTACTTTTGGATATACAACTAAAGAAGTAATTGAGATGTTTTAAAGTAGTCCTAAAACAAACACGAAAAAAGGAGCCTGTCCTTCTATCAGAGCAGTAAAACCATTTGTCAAAAAATACCTAGAGATTTGATCTTGAAAAGTTGCTATATCTGATATGATATATTAAACTGTTTGCTCTGGAGAACTATTCAGGCAGCTAAAGAATTCATGCTTGTCAGACATAGCCTCGCTCTTCAACCTGAATAATTAATGAGATCTAAGCCTTCAAACATAACTTGGCAGTATCAGGTCAAACTATGGAGTTACAACCTTGGTCTTTCTGCATCAAAAATTATTTCTCTGCCTAATAATTTTTTTAATCCTCATCTGAGGACATCTTTTCATTGCTTTATAGAGATAGGAAGAGTGGGGAAGGGAGGAGAGGAGAGTCGGGAGAGAGAGAGACACTAATGTGAGAGAGAAACATCAGTTGGCTGCCTTCTCATAGGCACCCCAACCGGGGATTTACCCCATAACCTGGGAATGTGCCCTCTTGACCAGGATTCAAACCTGAGACCTTTCGGTTTATGGGATGATGCTTCAACTGAGTCACATCAGCCAGGGTGCCAAGCAGTTTTTAACATAAAACGTGAGAATCTCTTAATATACAGGGCGGGGCAAAAGTAGGTTTACAGTTGTATGGGGAAAAAATAATAATATAAGAATAAACTCTACTTCATGTACTCACGACTGTCAACCTACTTTTGCATGCCCTGTATGTAATTTATTTAATTTATTTTTAAAAATGTTCGTGGTTTTTTTTTTTTTAAAGATTTTATTTATTTATTTTTTGAGAGGGAAAGGGATGGAGAAAGAGGGGGAGAGAAACATCAATGTGTGGTTGCATTTTGCACACCCCCTGCTGGGGACCTGGCCTGCAAGCCAGGCATGTGCCCTACACTGGGAATCTGACCGGTGACCCTTTGGTATGCAGGCCAGCGCTCAGTCCACTAAACCACACCAGCTAGGGCCCTGCCCTGTATGTAATTTAGAGTGTTACTTTTCATAACTAAATGCCTTCTGAAGTGATTTTTTAAAAAGATTTGTGACACAAATATAATTAGTAAACAAAATATAGTCATTTCCCCTTATGCCAGGGATATACATTCCAAGACTCCCAGGGGATGCCTGAAACCTCGGATAATACCAGCCTTATGTAATACTATGTTTTGTCCTCTACATACATGCCTTTTCATTGAAAGTAAGTACTTTATGGTTTCACTTTGACATATCCATATTGCAGGCATCACTACTCTTGTTCTTTGAGGCTATTAAGTAAAGGAAATAAGGGGGATGACTTGAACACAAGCACTGCAATACCGCCATGGTTTATCCGATAACCAAGATGGCTACTAAGTGACTGATAGGCAGGTAGTGTCTACAGTGTGGAGATACTAGACAAAGGGATGATTCACATCCTAGGTAGGATGGAGCAGGATGGAGATTTAATCTCACTACCTCAGAACAGCATGAGATTTAATACTTACAAATTTGTTGTTTCTAGAATTTTCCATTTGATATTTCCAGAGAGTGTTTGTCCTTGGGTAACTGAAACTGGGCAGCAAAATTGTGGATAAGGGGGGATTACTGTTTTCATAGCTTCTTTTACTTTTTCAAGTCATCATAAATGAATTAGATTATATGGATATTACTTAATTTTCTTCCTTCCTTTTTAGCTTCCTCTGCAAAGATGGGCCTGGTTGAAACAAAGTTGGCAATTATTCCTGGTGGAGGTATGAATCGTTCACACCCGTTTTGATTTGTTCTTAAAAACAGGCACAAGGCAAAAAGGTATTAATTGAAACGGCAACATTTTGGATGAAGAACTAATGCTGTGCTGTTTGCTTCTTTAGTCAAGTCCTGATTCATAATGCACTCTTTCAGCTTATGTTGGTGTGAAAATGGTGGGTACACTGGCCCTGGCTCTCTTTTTGTGTTTTTTTCTGTGCTTTTCTTTGTGATTTCTTAATTTTTAAATTATTCCACCAGTCTTATTGTTCTTGAAGGATGATACCACTATTTTGAAACTTTTATGCGTGGGTCTATAAATGTGTGCGCCCGCAGAGAGCTCCACACGCGCGGTCAGACTCCAGTGAAGAGGGACAAGAGCACCGAGGCTTTGTGCCTTGTTTCTTGTGTCTCTGTACAGCAAGACAAAGACTGGGGTTAATGGGCAGCTGGTGTTGATTAATCTGTTACTACAAAAATGATAGCTGTTTCTTTTGGAAGACTCATTTAAGAAAGTACTTTTCCACCACGGATAATGACATCATGTTGCATCACCCAATAAATCTGAAATTTTTGTTCTTTTGTCTGATGGCAAGAATTTGGAGATACTCACATTTTGTAATGTTATTTACTCAAAAAGTAGGCTTCATTTGAGGATGTGTATATTGATAACTTATTAGAACAGGAATGAAATAACAGTACAATATAAAAAATTAAATGCAGCATTGCACACCAGACATGTTTGTATCAGAATAAGTTAAAATTATATGTTTAACTGTATCACAGTTACAAGAGTATTTATCCTGATTAGGGTGTATAGGTAGAATGTTAAAACAATTCAGTGAAACTGAATACTACCCAGATCAATGTGTAAGACTGACTAACTTTTCTACTTTGGTAATCCATGAAAATCCTATTCTTGTAGGTAAAAACATTTAATATCTACCTGTTTTGTCAACCTTTTTTCCTAGTGACTAATGAAAACTCAAAAAAAAAAGAATTTATAAGAAAATACATCCAATTAAAAAGAGTTATCAGATAACTAATGTGTGAAATAAAACAAGGTTTAGGAAAAAGATGATATGCTTTACTGATATTACTAACAAATACTTTAAGAAATAAGCATTTGTTAGTGCTTACTACGCACTACCAAGCATACTACGCAGCAGAAAGAAAAAACTAACTACTAAACTTCGCGACAGCATGGATGGAACTGGAGAGCATTATGCTAAGTGAAATAAGCCAGGGGGCTAAAGACAAATACCATGTGATCTCACCTATAAGTGGAACCTAACCAACAATACAAAGATGCAAGGAAAATAAGACCAGCAACACTGAAAGGACAAAACCAAAGGGGAAGAGCTGATGGAGGGAAGGAGGGAGGGGGCAAGGGAAAGTGGTGGGGGGGAGGCAGAGACAAATGTATTTGAAAAAATAAATTAAAATAAAATTTAAAAAAATAAATGAGCAGCCACCAAAAAAAAAAAAGAAATAAGCATTTGTTAGTAATTACGATATAACTAATCCTAGAAAGGTAGTGACTATAGTTGAATGGTGCCCCGCCCCAAAAGATGTCAGTGTGAAACCCGGAATGTGACCCTATTTGGACAAAGGGTCTTTGCAGATATAATTAGAGATCTTAAAATGAGATCTTTCTGGGTTATCTGAATGAGGCTTAAATCCTGTGATAGACTGAGAGAGGATCCTGCGAAGACAATGACAGGGATTGAGGAGATGCATTGACAAATCAGGGAAGATCGGGGATTACTGGCTGTCACCAGAAGCTAGGAGATTGTTCTTTAGAGCCTCCAGAAGGAATCAATCCTGCCAACATCTTGATTTTGGACTCTGGTCCCCAAAATTATGAGAATTAAATTTTTGTAGTTTTAGGCCACCAAGTTTGTGGTGGTTGGTTACAGCAGCCTTCGGAAACTAACACAGTAGTTTTTAATGCTTAAGTAATTTTTTTTTGGACAGGGATGGAGATTATATTTATGTATATCTCAGAGGTAGGGTGTCGGAGAAAGATGAATTTAGGAATTTGGTTATTTATCAGGCTCTGAATGTGAAATGTTTTGTATTAAATGTACTAGAAGGTAGAGCAGTTGTATGAGAATACTGTTGAGTTTGATTAGGTGAACAAAGCTTAGCTGATAATACTGCAGAAATAAGGGTGATAACTTTAGCTTGTTTAATCTTCTCTTATGAGCCAGCCATATGAGGTCTTGAAATTAACACATTCTTCCCAATGTACATAAGTTTTTAGGGTCCTCATCAATGGTGGATCCATTAATTATAACACACTTTTTTAAAAATTAATTAATTTATTTTTTCAAATACATTTTTTATAAGTTTGGTCGAATGTGAACTTTATTCTCATGAATACTGTTATTTTTAAAAATTCTTATTAAATAAATTTGTCTTAGAATTCAGAATGCTTTAACATTAATCCAAATGAAGCTGTGCCTCCCTATTTGGATTTCTGTATATTTGATAAACACAGGAGAGTTAACCTGATGCTCCTGGTTGGCAAAAAGTTTCTTAAAATAAAACAAGGTAAATTAGAAAATGATTGTTTTGAAGAGATAATAATATTCATAGTGAACTTGAATATTAATGGAACATTACTATAAGACATCTTTTAGATTGGTAGTCTGAAGTTGGGTTATACTAAGAAGGAGATTGTCTGCTGTCAAATAACTATTAAAAGCACATAGTTAATGAAAAGGAAGGTGTAAAGGAAAGTAGAAGCATTAAAACCAAGTGTACTTCTTTAAGTAATATTATATCAGATATAATTTAAAAATGGGATGTAATTGAATGTCATATACTTAAACCAGTACTTTTGTTATATGCATATATTTGATTGTTTGACTAATATTATAAGATACAAAATACAGTGTTAATGATTTAAAGTACTAGCCAATTTAAAAATAATTGAAATTGTTACTCAAAGACCTTGCTACTACAGTATTCTAAGTTATATCAGAGATTTTGTACCCTAGTCCTCTACTCCGTTCTCCAGTATTTTCACTTTTAAGAAACCAGCTCAACTTTCTGTCTTCTCCTAACCAGGAGAATACTTCAGTAGTAGTTAAAATAAAACTCTCATTTAGAGGTAGCCCCTTAAGCAATATTTATAAAAACCAAATAAAACAAGTTGAGGGAACTAGGATTGTTTTTATTTAACAGTTTAAAAATTTCTTTGCACACAAAATGGTGCCAAGTTCCCTCATTCCCAGTCTTTTTCTTTTTTTTCCTTGCGTCTTTTATGGAGAATGTGGGTTTTGTATCAAGAAACCTTATTATGCCTAAGGCAACTGTTTAAGGCTTCTTACTGGGGTGCATACCACTCTGGACAAGATGTCTAGTATTTCCAATGCTCCTGTTCTTTTCAGCTTTTTATTTTGGAAATATTTAAATTTTAGGAAATTTGAGAAACAGTAAAATGAATCTCTTTGTACCCCTCGTCAAGATCTTCCCTCCCTTTTCCCCTCTCCTGCCATACACTCTGTCTCCCACTCTCTGTTGTCCGTCCTCAGATGCACACCCATCTTTTCTTGCTGAACTATTTCAAAATAACAGAGTAAACCTTTAAGATTTTCAACCTGCCTTTCCTAAGAATAAGGAAGAACTTATATAACCACAACATTATCATCACACCAAACAGTAGTAACAATAATATTCAGATTTCCCCAGGTGTTTCAAAATTTAGTTTGTAGTTTTGTTTTGCTTTTCCAATTCAGGATCTAGTTCAATGTCACACACCATATTTGGTTAAAACTTTTTTTTTTTTAAATTTAGAAAAGTCATCCCCTTTTTGTAACTAATTAAGCAAAATTTCAGGCAAATTATCTTGCTGAGGTTTGCACATTGTAGATTTGATAGTTATTTCTTCAAATTTAGGTTAAAAATTTTTGCCAACAATTCTAAAGGGACCATGCTCTATGTTTTATTTTCATTTTACTTGATGGTACTTAAGATGTTAGGTTGTCTCACTTAGAGTGATAATGACAATGATCACTTTTTTAAGGTGGTGACTAACCATGAGTGCACTTTTAGCATGCTCTTCTTGGAAACTTCTCAGGAAAAGCATCTTTAATTACTGGCATTGACTATTCTCCAAGTTAAAAAGGAAAAGAAGAAAATTAGAGCACTCAGGTTTCATGGGACCAGAACAAGAGTCCTCAGTTTCTTTTCTTCTCTTCAGGGTAGAGGATTTGGGGCATCACTGCCCATTTGACTTGGAGACTATGTTCGTCAGTAAGGTAGTGTCTTGGCCTGGTGTCTAGGCACTCTAGTTTAAGGTGTGTTTATGAAGTGACAGTGGATTTTTAAGTCCTCTGTGTGTGTTGTCCTAACCACGGTAGTCATTTTGGAAAGTTTTCTTGTATCATCTTTATTGAAATCCTTTTAGAATTTACATCAGAATCGGAACCTATTCTTTTGAACAGACTCAGCAATGATTCATCATTATCCTGCGAGGGTGAGTTTGATTTTCACAAATAGCAAAAGACATTTCTGTGCCTAATCTGATTAATAAGGTCATACTATATCAGGAAGAAGGAAAGTATAACAACATTAATAAGACTACTTTTTTAAAGAGGCATATTCATGTCAAACATTTACCAGTTTATGAACAATGGAGAGCGTTGCCAGATTTAGGAGACTGCTTCCCAAGTGACCTCTCTAAAGGCCAGCACTACCTCATATAATGCAGAGTCTCATTTCTTTGTACTTTAAAATGCAATCAGTGACTCTTCACTATTCTGTGTCTAATTAGGGTGTTTTGGAAGTTGTTAGGTGGCTTCCCACTGTTGACAGGCCATTTTGTTAGTTGCTGTGGAGGAAACATACACAGGGTGAGGCAAAAGTAGGTTTATAGTTGTGAATATGTGAAACAGTTTATTCTTTTATTATTATTAATTATTGTATTATTTTCCATTCAAACAACTGTAAACCTGCTTTTGTCTCACTTTGTATTTCTGTATATGACTCAGCAATG